TTTTGAAATCCATCTAGTTTTGTAGTTTTGTGACCAAAACTCACATTTCATAAATCCGTCTAGTTTTGTAGTTTTGTGACCAAAACTCACATTTCATAAATCCATCTAGTTTTTGCTAACAAAAGTCTGGGTATTAATGCAGCGGTTGATGCCTACATCAAACATCCCTTCTATACCCGCCAATCCAATGGCGCGTGGTTAGGTACGCGGTCGTTGAAAGTGGGCAATCTGTGTGACGGCACGTATTTTCCTAGCTTCTGATTCTAATCCGTGCTCCCTGATTCAACAACCGAGCGTTTGCTTTGTAAATCACAGTTCCGTGGAAACCGAAACTCTCTATATATACCCAACCCAACCACCACTGAAAACTCATATTTTGTTCTACGTGATTTCCTTCCTGACCCAGGTAAATTTTAATCATTCTTTCCTCCTTCACCCTCATTTCTTGAAACTCTTCGCCTCTCTTTGCCTCTGTTTGGCCGCCGAGAATGTGAAATCGCGCGAAAACTTCTCTTCAAATCCGCCTTCGTCATTCTTCTTTCTCTGATTCCTTGTTTTCATTGCTATCTCTTAATTACTTATTGATGCTGAAACTGACATTCCGATGGCTTGTGTTGTGGTGCTGCAGAACGTGTATCTGCATTACTTCAGAGGATTGTCTGCGTTTGGTTTCTGGTTTTCCGCTCCTAAACTAGGTGCGTTTGATTGACTCTAAGAAGAACTGCAACCATTCTAGGTACGGATTTACTTTTCTTTTTCAGAAACTCCCATGTAATTTGGTAGATTTATTGAAATGTCTGGGTTCATTGGTGTTGAATATGTTTTCAATATAATTACTTTTTGGTTGATTTGCATGGTGGTCGCTGTGCTAGTGAATTTTTTTTTTTTTTTGGGGTTAAACTGTGCATAAATGCCCATGGTGGACCAACTCAACATTAGGTTTCCTCTATCCTGGCTTAAAAATTGAATCTGGAATCTCTGGCCTTTTTCCTGCATTTTTTTGAGTCACCGGAAACTGCATATTAGGCTGGTTCTGTTGGACAAAAATACCAAAAAGTTGCCATTTACCTGGGTTTTTGCCCCTTTTTTTCTGAAATTTTTTAGGACCGCCGGAATCTGGGAAGTTGCCCAGAATCGGCCGGAATTGGACCGGGCTCCGGCCACGTGAAAGCCGGTCACACCTTCTCTGCTTTAATCCGTTTTGACCCGGTTTCTTATCCGGGTCTGTTAGTCGGGTCGTATGACCCGACTCTTCTTGTGGGCCTCTTGTCTTATTTCATTTTATTTTAAGTTTGGGCCCCGCCCGATTCCATATTGAGTTTTCAAAAAAAAAAGGCATAGAAGAGGAATAAATTGAAATGGGCCAAACTCACCTTAAGCCCACTAGGCCCAAATGTTAAAGTTCTAATAATGGACGAACTTAGACCTCATAAGTTATTTTGTTTTAATTACTTTAATTAATTTAAACTAACATTAATTTAGATTAGTTTGAATTGATCCAGAATTAATCAAGGCTTGAACTAATTAAGATAACTAATTAACATTATTAAATTCTAATTCATTAAAATCCATTTTAAGGTTAATTATCTTAGGGTTTTTATTTATTGCACCATTAATGTGTATAAAAAAATTATAAGAGTAAATTTTATTTTTAACACCAATGCCATAGATTTTAAGGTTATTAACCCCCACCTAAAAACTTAAAGGCATTAGCCCCTCAACAATACAATTTAAGAAAATTTCTCTTTATTTAATGGTTTTGAAGTGTACGCCGTTAGTTAGACGTTATCTTCATCCTAGTCAGTGACACATAATATCTCTATCCTACATGGCATGCCACTGTGACAATCAATAGAAAATTCTTTCTCAATTTGATACAGCCCCACTCTATCATACTAAAGCGAAAAGAAAACAGAGAGAAAAAAAAAAAGAGAATTAAGGTCTTGCCATGGTGGCATACCAAGTAGGATAAACATGCTAATGTGTCTTTAACTAAGATAAACACAACATCAAACAAAAGGTGTGTAGCTCAAATCCATTAAATAAGAAGCAATTCTTTGAAATGATATTGTTGAGGGGTTAAAAGCCTTTAGTTTTTTGGATGAGGTCAATAACCTTAAAATTTATAAGTTATAGGACTAAATACGAGGTTAAGCCAATTAAGGTGTTTAATTAACATTAATTAATTCTAATCAATTTAAATCCATTTTAAGGCTAATTTTATCTTGATTAAAGTTTATTTCTTTAATTAATCTTAATCAACTAGGATAAATTATCTTAATTTCTTTAATTAGCCTCAATCCATATTAATGGGAATTGGTAAAATTCACACTTTTCTTATTGTCCCACATCTTTCTTAATCTGTTCACTTTAGTCCCTTACTTTTAATTCATTCCAAGTCACCATCCTTATTTCTTATAACATTCAGTTGAGTCTTAGGTTTTGACAAAATCTTTCAATCTCACCCATCCTTTTTGAGTTAAGTTAACTAAGGTCTTATATAAGAAACAAATTGAAATAAACTCCCTAATTTTAAAGTATGGAACCAAGATTTTACATGAAGAGGATTATAAGGTGCACTCACGTCCTTCCTTACTCCTAATCGGTTTTTAAGAACTGGACCAGATCGGTCGGTTCAACCGGTTGAACCGTCAACCGGTGAACAAAACGGGCCGAGTGGACACCCAGGCCCGTTTAGACGGTTGGATTGTCCAAACCCGGAAGAACCGTCCGACCCGTCCAACCCGATAGACCCGGTGAACCGGCCGGGCGAATTCTTCCACGGTGACGGGATGCTGCAAGCCTACTGCAACTTTGTTTTCATTTTTTTTTTCACGATTTCCCACTTTTTCCAACACAAAAGCAAAATCTGATAGTTTTTTCTCCATTCTCTAGTCTCCATCGATTCTCCACTCTCAAATCCAGTCTCCATTGCTTTTTCAGATCTGATCGTTGTTCTCCATTACTGTTCTGGATTCTTTAGTTTCCAACTTTCCATCACTTTTCCAGCCATATCGACAAAGAAGAAACCACAAGGTAGCACCGTAGCAGATCGGGCAACAGGTCGCTTCTCCTTCGCATCTCCAGATCCAACAGCAGATTAGCTTCTCCATCGCATCTCCAGATCGGGAAGCAGCGGGCAGCAGATCAAATCAGCCTTCATCGAAAGACTTGTCTAAAACCACCCATTAAATTAGAGGTTGATAGAAAGGAGCCATGAAAGATCAATAATTGGGTTTTTGTTTTTTTTTTTTTTTAAATCGCTTGATGATGGTTTGTGTTCTGATGAAGTGATGATCAATTGCAATGGAATTAATTGTACAGGGCACTCGCCTCGTGCCTCCAGCCAACACTTTCACTTTTATTGGGCCACGTTATATTGGTTGAAGAGGTATCATAGATATATTTACACCATAGATATATTTATAAAAACAATATACAGATATATATATATATAATTAATTATCATAAAAAATGATTTGACATGAAAAACAGAGTATGATACTTTTATAATAGTTAATTATATATATATATTGGACCGGGCTCCGGCCACGTGAAAGCCGGTCACACCTTCTCTGCTTTAATCCGTTTTGACCCGGTTTCTTATCCGGGTCTGT